TCTACGGTTATACTTGAGAGGTCGACTTAACGGATGAGTGGTTGAAAGGAGAGAGTAGAATATCAGAACAGAAGAGATAGATAGACTAGATAGATAGAAGGGTTTTTTTCTAGCAGCTGATTGCGGTACACCTTTTTAAAAAGAATTTAGGAAATAATATAAAACAATAAATATAGAGAAGCATAAACATTAAATTGTTGATTCTCTATATTTTAGGTAAGTAGGACACATATACGTTAGGGTAAGTGAATTTGTTACGTCGTTAATAATAAAAACTTTATATTTTAGACGAATCAATCTTGTGTTTCTGCTTCAATTTGACCTTCAAACATTATAAATCAACAATTTGCTTGTTTGTGGAGAAAAATACTAACTTTGGAGTAATAGGCGGACACCATGTCAAGATTAAAATTTAAAGGGTATAGCCGGATAAGTATGGGAAATCTGCCCCCGTGGCTTTTTTGACTCGCACTTAGGAGATCGATTTGGTGTCGAATAAAAATAATTCACCCCAAATTTGAGCTCTTTTACTCAAACTGTTCTGGAGATTTTCAAAAAAACCTGTTTTTTCGATTAAAATCGATATAAATTTTTTTTTTATAGTAAAATTCAAAACTAATCAATGATTACTTTTTTTCTAGTTCTTAGGAGTCTTAGACATGAAAAAAAAATATTATCATAATATTTTAACGAGAAGCCGATTTTTGGCGGACGAAAGAAAATTAAATTTTTTTTTTTTAGCTTTTTTGAAATATGTCAGTCACCAAAATTTGTCAAAAAATGTCTTTTATACTCCTCTACACTCAGGAATTTTCTTGAATTTTTTGAAGTTGTGGAACATTATGAAAAAAATTAAAAACTCATTTTTTTCTAAAATCTCAAGTTTTAACTAACTTATATTTTTTTTTTCAGTTAAAAAAAAATGTGAAAAAATATTTTTTTACTCAAAATACACTTTGCCAGAAATAAACATAAAGATTATTATAAAACAATTAAGATATATTCCGTCTAACGTAATTAGAAGGGGTATAAATTATTGAAAATACATTTAAAGATAGTACTTATATATTCTTTATACGGTTAGATATTATTATAAATCTTATGCAACAAAAATAAAAATTATAATAAAAGATGTAACTATATTAGTCTTCATCACTGTCTGTATTCACTAGGACACTAATTTTTTCATCGATGAACAGGCGACTCAAGATCTCAGCAGGTCTTACAATTTTCACCAAATATCGAGCGTAAGATAAATAATATATGATAGCAGCAATGTGAGAGCAACATCCAACAGTCCCACATAACACGATAAGTTTTGAAATCTTTCAGCGAAAGTTTCGTTAAATATTTCCAAAAAATCTTTCAGAAGCCTTACAGGCAACATTCTAAAATATTTTGAAAAAGATTCACAAAGATTTTACAAAAATATTTTAAAAACATTTCTACAATATTTTACTGATAGAGTAATCTTTTGCAAGTCTCTTACAGGACATTTGCGGACATTTTCACCTTGTAAAAAGATTTTTTAGAAACCTTTTTGAAAGGTTTAAAGCTTTTCAAGAAATGTTTTAGAAAGTTTATAGAAAGTTTTTATGTTATGTGGGGTGCGTCTACCATTCGCACAATCACAACAATATCGAGTTATTCCGGAAATATCGTTCTTATCTGGCTGATATTCAATAAAACAACGATATGTCTTCGAATTATTATGTCGAGATCTGACTTTGAACTTTATAATATTAGGTGTAATTTTTATAATGGAATGTGATTATTCCGATTTCATCCATCATCTCAGCTAAATACGATATAGCTTGAGACATTTGATATGATTCAGTGAAAAGAATTTTGAGTTCTTGCTCTGATAATTCTGGAAAGTCAGTTAATTGCTCTGAAGTTATTATCGCATAAAATCGATCCCCCAAGTGCGAGTCAAAAAAGCCACGGGGGCAGATTTCCCATACTTATCCGGCTATACCCTTTGAAGTAGTAGCGGCAGATGACCCTAAAACAAGTATTATAGTTATCACGTCTGTAACTAACGAGGAGGAACAGCAATTTGAAATACCCAGAAATTTAGGTCTTTTGAAATTTCATGGAAGTTTAACCGCCTTGCCAGAATTCAAGAGTGTTGCGGCCACACTAAAAAAGCTTGGACAAGTTCGCAAAACATAAATTAAATTAACGAATGAAATTCGAAATGAATACGTTGATGAAAGTGGAAACATGGCATTGAGGGATTACCTTTTAGAGGAAATACAAGAATCACAACAGCAGAAAGGACTGAAAGTAACAAGATTAGAAGAAAGTTTAGTAAAAAACAAAAATTTAAATAAAATTTCAGAGAAATTCGTGATTGAAAAATTTTCTGGTAAAAAGGCCAGTAAAATTCAATAGTTGACAAATTATGAGAGTGAGTGTAAAAGATTAGAGGTAACAAAAGATATCATATATATTTAGGGATAATTTATTTAGGGTGAGAAGTGCGAGGTGAACATACACCCAGTTTAATCCTACTAATAAGATTTATTTAAAACAGGTATTAGAAAAGGTACAATATTAGTT